ACAGCCAGTCCACTCCGCACCCAATCTCCTGGTCTACGCCCGTCTCTTCCATCATCCGTGACGACTTTGTTCTTTCTACTCCTTCTGCCACCACCAACACTACAATTGAAGACATCTTATCGCATCGGAGTGGACTCCCTGGCCACTTCTTTTCCATCAACCTCGCTCATCCGAATGAGACTTTGCGCACCGAGGTCCGCAGGCTTCGATGGCTACCACTGGCCTTTCCGCCACGGACCACATTCAACTACAACAATCATATGTTCATGGCTGCCACATATTTGTTGGAACGCATAAACGGGGAGGGTCTTGGAATGACACTGAAAAGAAGGATCTGGGACCCACTCGACATGAACGATACATACTTCTCCACTGCCGAAGTGCAAAAGCACCCGACCTTGTCCAGGAGACTAGTTAAGGGCTACACCTGGAATCCGGAAACACACACCTATTACGAAGAGCAATATATCAACTATGCTCCGATAACCGGAACTGGTTCAATGGTTTCTAACGTGATGGATTACGCAAAGTGGCTGCGCGCTATGCTTTACGAGGCACCCCCTATCTCGAAAGAGGGGCACACAGCACTCCGTATACCCAGGGCAGTCATTGCCGAGTCGGATTGGGAAAATATGCTCGCTCCGCCCGGTGCATACCATCTCTATACCATGGGATGGTTTATAGACTACTACCATGGAGAACAGTTGTACTGGCACACGGGTAGCTGGGTTGGATTTGGGATAATGGTCGGATTTTTGCCTGCAAAGGGCTTTGCATTTGCAATGATGGGAAATACCCAGAACGCGAGGATTGCAGAGTTAGATTTGTTCTTGTACCTCATCGATCAGCTGCTGGGGAAGAGCGGAGCCGAAAGAGAGACCCATGTGAGGAAGCTAGGGGCGAAGCTTAAGGAGATGGAACGGATATACAACGAGAGTGTCGAAAGTGTGGTAGCACGGCTGTATCCAGATCTGAAAACGAGGTTACCACTTTCGTTGTCGCTGGGAGCATATACAGGGACATATGCCCATCCTGGATACGGAGAGTTTAAGGTGTGTGAGGAGAGCGGTAAGTTGGTTGTTGATTTGAGAGACCGTGTGGGGAGCAGTAGGATGCGGTTTGAGCATGTCAGTGGAGAATTCTTCGTCGTCAAGTACTATAATCCTGAGGCCGAGGCTGTGGGACCAGACTATACGAAGGCCGAGTTTTACGTTGACGAGCAAGGAGTAGCGAAGAGCTTGGGGTTGGATCTGGAGTCTGTTCTAGGGGAGAAGATCTGGTTTCAAAGGAAAGAGTGAGCTGTAATAATCATAGCTACTAGTATTAGTGCAGGCCATTCGCCAGATACAGCAGATCGGGTAAGTATTAGGGTGGAACATCAGTGACCATCCAACTAGGACTCAAACATTTCCCAAAGCAGTAAATGATAACGATAATATGTTCTTCGAATTTATAATATTCCAAGCAGGACTCTTCATACACACATAAATCGTATATGCCAATCATAACAATGTGGACGACCCAAAGCTGATTTCATATCCATCCCCTAATCACACCGATACACACTCACCATCCATTCAACCCACTCCTATCCCACGCACTCAGAACAAAGTCCACCTAGTACCCCCTCCACCTCCCAACATGCACCCCACCCCTCTTCGCCAACTCCCTATCAAACTCACTCTCCCCACCGGTGGCATTTACAATCCTATTCAACATCGTTCTCAAATCATCAAAGGTGATATTGTCCTTCGCACGAGTCCACCCCAAATCAAGCGGAAGACGTTCATTCTCTGCAAAACATTAGCCAACCATAAACTCTCCACCATTACTTCAACCCCACCAAAGGATTGACCTACCAAAAAGATACTCCACCCTCGACCGATTTACCAACCCATTCTCCTTATCTCCAAGAACAATGATATACGCCGCCGTCTCCCCATAACTAAACGACGCACCCAGCTCGGACATGGTATAATTCGGGTTCGTAGCCATAGAGGTGTTAACACGTGCTTGGCGGGACAGAGCAGCCTGCTTCACGTCGATGATGGGGGAGGTCCAGTATGAGCGGGTTTCGTCGAAGATGGTTTGGTTGAAGTCGTGGTTGTCGCCGAAGAAGGCGTCTTGGCGGCTATACCATGATACATACTGGGTTAGATGGATGGAGTGGTGGGATGGGGGAGGGACATACCTCAAGCTAGCATCATGTTCGAGAATATCATGACGGCTTAGATCATTCAGGGAGAATGTGGTTGCGTTTGGGGTTGGGTTGGTGGTGACAGCTTCCTGGTGGAGGTATTTGGAGAGTTCTGCTTCGATGCCAAGCGCGTTGTACAGGGCGTTGATGGTGTGTTGCTCGGTGATGTTTTTGCCGTTGTGCGGGAGGTAGCCGTGGTTGGCGAGGGTGTTGAGCATTGGGCAGGGGGCGCGGACTATCATCAGTTTATGTTAATCATGGCTTGGCGTATGAAGGATCGTGGATAGGATAGGAATGTTTACCATCGTTAGGGCCGGGAGGGGACCATGGTAGTGGGTGCGGTGCTGCTCCTTGCGAGGGGAATGCGTGGGTTTGGGTAAGACCCACGGCAAGGGATAGTAAGGTGGTTTTCTTCATGTTGGTGGTAGTCGTAATAAAGAGCTGAATTTGTTATTCTGGGACTGTATCTAGGATGAGGATTTGATGGTATTTATATCCGGATATCCGGATGTAGGCCTAGAGCTGAGCCATCTACATTACAAATGCCGGAATATTACTTGCCATCGTCATCTGGAAGAAATTACGCCCGCGTTATTTTTATAATTGTGGAGTAGCAGGTGTAGCCAGTCATGCGTGAATATGGAGCAAGTTTCAGATGGCTCCGATCTGGTTGAGGGCACGATGACGGCCTTTGATGGGCAAGTCGCTAGCCATTTTGGACTGGGTGTATACGAGCATAGTGGTGGCACCGTTGGCAGTCACCATGTATGTGATGCATCGATTATACGATGATTGGCTGCACTGGCAGCTTTGGAATGCTCCGCGCAGCAAAACCCGCTGTACCCGTGGACAGCGATTTAGGACGCCTGATGCCAAGAGCTTGCTGTGATGTAATCACTCGTCCAAAGCAGTGCTGCAGCATACTTGGTGGCTGTCAACACCACAATAGCGGAGTTACATTCCTACATACCTGCATGTCTAAAATTGTAACAATCTGCTGCCTAAATAACGTCCCGTGGGAACATGAAAGCCTGCGTAGGATTCAGGCGGTCATATTCTGTTTTGATATTAGTGACAGCTGATAGGAGGATTATGCGGTGTTTGAATCTTGGCATTTCGGTAAACAAGAGTTGGAACGAGCTCCACTGCTAAGGCATCAGGATAATGTGATTGATCGGAGGCCTTTGCTATTCGCGACGGGTAAGGGTATGAATCCTACGGGAGGCATAAGCCGCCCCGTGCCAAGGGATCTGCAGCCGAGCCCCAGGCGCGGTCTACATTGGGTTTAGTGGCATCTTGACGAATACGATCGGCTCAGTTAGGAAAAGGACTTGCTGTCTTGGTGCGGTGATTACGGATACGTCGAGAGTAGCAAAATTGACTGTTGAGTGTGTATGGGATATATCTGTTTACTAGAGGGGTGATATCTACCATTTTTTTAAAGGTTGTGAACTGTGACTGAATGTCAGCAGCTGTACCCAAAAACAAATATAGAGTGGTCAAGCAAAAAGTAGCTCTATATAAATAACGGTTGATGGAAAAGCGTCCAGTCGGAGATTAATTGCTTCTTTCAACAATTGCCAGTCTTCACCACTACTGCATCGAGAACTCTTCTAGATTTAACAAATAACTCAATTTGGACCTCTCAATTACTCCAATCCCTTCCCCTTCCACGACCATGAGTGCATCAGGCCACGGAAGCCGAACAATCCTCATACGACAGCGACACTTGCAATGCAGGTGGATGGTGTTTTGAAATATACGGTTCTATGTTCTCGCTCGCAGCAGCTCCAACAATAGTATTCCTCTTTGGCACCTCTATGTCCGGCCATGATGTCCGAATGGTGTCTTCTCTCCCTTCGTGGCGTTGTTTTGTTACTCATCCCAATTTATCTCATCCAAAGCCTTTGTTGATAGTTTGGTGCGCATGGTCAGTCAACACACTTTGGCCCTGGAATACCTTGAGGAGGAAGTCAGGGAATAAGTTGGAGCTGTTGGGAAGGGGGCATAATTGAGCGAGAGAAGGGTGTGGGGTTGAGACGATAGTCACTGCTTGGGTTGCGGTCGGGGGGATAAACTCAAGGCAAACTACTACTATGATGGCACTGCACTAGGATGACTGTGTCTTCTTAGTTGCACAATCATCCAGGCCAAAGATTGTCTCCATCGGCCATTGTAACCACCGACGATCCTCCCTACCCAAGCATTCCTCAATGCCCCCCATGATATGTTCAGCCCACCCTCGAGCAAACCATACCTCATCATGGATCTTCATAATCACCAGGAAATAGGCCAGCAGTACCAATGCCACTGGCTCTCTCCTTTGGAAAACACTCAATCCAGGCTCAAAGCAACAGACCCAGTCATAAACCATCATCGCCAGCCTGCCAATCTTGCATCCTGTATCGTGTCCTTCCCCGCACATCTCACTGAACATCCGCTCCAACATAGCGATCGCATTAATATAACAGTGCTTCATAGTCAAGCCATTCACCTCGCCCTGCTCTTCGCTTTGAAGAATAACCCACTGTCTCAACCTCTCTAGCGTTCTCTGGTATTCAATTTCGGACGCCTTGCCTCGCTCACTAAATTGAGATAAATCACCGTTCTCTACCCGAGACTTGAGATCTCCCGATATCCGACAAAGCGTTCTCACACCAAAGGTTCTCGAGCTATTCGACCAGGCCTTGGGAAAGGTTCTATTCATAGACGAAGCATATCGCTTGGTAGGGGGCGACCGATATTCGAAAGAAGCCATCGGAGAGATAGTGGGTGCCATAACTAACCCAAAATTTGAGCAAAAATGTTCATCATTCTGGCTGGGTACGGCGAGCAAATGGACTTACTACTGAGTTCCAATCCAGGCTTACGGAGTCGATTCAGAAGAGTCATGACATTTGACAGCTTGACGGGAGAGCAGGCCACACAACTTCTCATTCAAAGCCTCGATGATAAAGGTTTCCTAGACACTTCTTCAATCGGGGTGCCGACGTACGAAACGCACAAGGAACTATGTGACCGGTTCACCTCCTTGTCCGTGGTCGACGGATGGGGAAACGCACGCGATGTCCATGCGATCAGTGAAGACATAGCCCGTAAGGTTCTATTGGGTTCAAGCGGGCCCGAGGAGACTTTGTCGGTAACCTTTGACGTGATATATGAGGGTTTGCGCGATATAGGTCGGCGTCGTGGTGCTATTCCTCCTACGGTGATGCCTTCTGTTCCAAAGTAGAGTGCACGATCTGTCACGAACATCCTGTCTTGGATGACTTGCACATGTCCGCTTTATGAGACTTCTGGAAGTCGAAGCTGAATGCTGTGCTAGTTTCAATGATCTGACATTTCATCATTTGCCGCTGCAACAGAATGGATAGGAATGACTCAAGAATTTTCGGTACCAGTTAGCCCGCATTTGGGGTTTTATGTGGTTTGGTTGTAGGTGAACGGGCACACGAGCAATTTGTCGACCACCACTGCTCTGTGACAGATTCCTTCAGTGACTCCTTTCAGTGACTCCTTTCTTCATTGATTCCGGGAGTTTATTTCACTATTTAGTGTCACAGAAAACTAAATATATGTATCAACACGATACGGCTACAGATCAGTTCATTGTTCAATTTATTTTAAGTTACTTGGCTTCTTAGGTGAAATGATCTTCATGAGACATAAATGATACAAACTAACCCAACGACAGTGCTAGGCGATAGCGTTTCAGAAACCATTGATACAGCCACATATTCCTATACCGAGCAGACAAGCCAGAACAAGTAACCAACACGAAGGCTTCAGTAAGTACATAACATGAGAAGAAGACCGGGAGCAAATGCGTCCATCCAGCTAGTAATGCTGCGCACGAAGGCTGATTGCTAGAAGAATCGGACCTAATTCGCGCATGGCAGCGGCGCTATGAGTGTTCCAGGGCCCGAACTGGTGCATGGTCATAAAGGGGTTATTTTGATTCTTTCCAGTTTGAAGATAGGCAATGTAATTATCGTCGTATTTTGCCACGGAGATGTAGATCTCCTGTCTATCTTGTGATATTATAATGCGGCTGTTGATAACGAGAGTCAGTGAATAGAAGGCAACACCTCGCAACGTTCATCACTTACGGCTTATTTCGAGGTGCAGGTAAAGCTGATTTGTAGTCCATTAGTAGCCCGGCCACCATTTGGTGGCTCTCTTGGATGCGAATCTGGGGCTCCTTCGTCTGTCTAAGCATAGGCTTAACCTCGACGATGGCCTTGATATCCCCACTGGAATCCGCGAGATAGCCATCTGTTCTGGCTTCGAACTTTGCATTCGTAAATTCTGCAGTCAATGCCATTCGATGCAGAGACCAACTGACAGGGAGGTTGAAGTGGAGTGTGAGAGAATCAAGGTAGACCAGCAAAGCGGTATTCACAATTTGTTCATCTTTCGTCGGGGGGTACATGAATTCATCGTCGGGGCTTATGGTGCTCCAATGGGAAGGGGGGGAGAAGGAGGACAAGGCCGAGGGACTTTTGTCTGCATTGTCGACCACATGAGGCGTTTCGAAGGTCTGGTTTGGTTTCCTTGAAGGGGTCGCGGGGTTGAAGTCCGGTTGCCTGATCGGAGGCTGTGCGGGTTGCGCCCTAGAACGGGTGTTATGGACTTTAGGAGTGAAGGAAACACCACTACCAGAATCATCTTGCTTTGTTTTCGAGACCTGAAGTTGGTAATAACGGGCTGCGGCAAAGGTCCCTTCCGGGATCGGGCTTCTCGGGTCGAAGGTTTTACAGTATTTGTCCCAAGAGGAAACATGTTTCAACATGGCGTTCGCACGTGGCAGCCATTGGCTCAAGTCGTAATAGTCCAAAAATGCAGAAGAGGTATGAGATTTCCAGAGCACTCGGAGCATGAGGAACTGCTCCCTAGGAACATGGGATGCGGATTTCAACGGCACGTTGTGAATGGTTTGGCTGCTCAGTCCCAAAAAGTTGACTTGCTCTTGCCAGGCTCTCGGTGAGTCCGGGACTTCGGTGGATGCGTCAACCATGCTGGGCGAAGTAGCGACCAAGTTTGAAACGAAGAAGATCTTAGCAGAAACGCAATGTGATGTTTGATGTGATGGACTTTATTCCTATTCTGATGATGGAGAGAACGGTCCCTTTTATGTCGTCGGGTAGCACCCCTTAGCCGCTCTCGCAAGAAGATCGGGGGCTATAGACATGGCGCCTAAGAGTTGCCGCCTCAGCCCTTGTCTCCCATGTCAAGCGGTATGTAGGTTAGGACAAACCACCCAATAGATAGGGCCTAGCGGACAGTTGGAGGCCGACATGGATTCTGTTCCCTGCCAATGTTATCCTGTAGTAGATCATTCGTTACTATTTGCGCACCTCAGTAACATTTAAACTCTCTCTTCTTTTCACACTGGTCAATCAGCTTCGTTGTCTGATGGTTGACCTAGCCCGACCTATACCGAGCGCCTACTTGGCCAATGGTTAAGACGACTAATTATAGTTACCACCATGTGTGTGCGGCTTTGGGGTACTTTGCTGAGACGGAGCCAGCAGCACACTTTGTTTTAAGCAGGAAACGATGCTTCATAGCCAATAGATGCAGGAACGAAAGACAATGAACGGAGAGGCCAGAATCACAGCCGATGCAGCCAGGGCTGTGATACCGCCAGCGGCAACGAGGATCGACTTCTGATTGGCTCAAGGCCCGGTGCGGGGCAACGCGAGCAGATTTCCGTCGTCGAGGATCATCAGCCGAGAGCCAGCCTCAGCCCATACCCCTTCCTGCTATATAACGCGGACACTTGCTGCGAACACATAAGATTGCCAGTCCTTTCCTCACTCTCCTCTACTTTATACAATTGCTTAATTTAGTGTTTCTCTCATTGCCAATAATTTCCCTCAAAAGCTGTAAACATGGAGTCCAACACTGAGTCACGCGATCGGTACACTCTCCGCAAAGCACTCACCCTCCTGGAGAGGGACTTTAGCAGCCTGGAAGATCAGGGTTATTATACCTTAGACGAGACCCTGCTAAAGCGATACCACATCCAAACGGAGCCTCTGAGCCTCCGTTGTAATGATTCGCTCGCACCAAAGTTTTTCGGTCCATTTCTCGCTCAGGGCATACCAGAGCCGACAGAAGAATATGTCGATCGAGATTACAACACTGCCAGACTCACCCTGTCCAGCGAATACGGACGGTTGATCTACATTTACCTCCAGTCATACATTCGCAAGTTGATGATCGACTTTCCCGCAGTCCGACGCGTATGGTCAAGCAACCAGTAAGTCCATAGTCATAGTACCTTCCGTTCTTTCATCCTTCTTTACTAATCAAGTCTTCAGAATCGGGGATTACGGCTTCGGTAACCTTTACCGCACGTTTGAACCAGAGTTTGGCACATTGTCAATATTTCATGTCGCCAAGGCCGCCCGGCCGCATATTAAATGCATCATGCACAATGACCTCAATGCAGATGACAGTCATCTGCTATACGGGGAGGTGTTGACCGTCGTGCGCATCATATTGGGCCAACTGAAGCAGAAGGTGTTCGTAAATGACATGATAGCACCGGTAAATGCACACCCATTTCTGCGATCACAATAAAAATGAGCAATGTTAACTGAACTATCAGGTCCTACTTTTCTCACTGAACAGACAGCGCCCACGTGTCATCGAGGCATATTACGATGGCCAGAAATTGGTGTTACGCCACACTAAATCCTATGACTTCACAACCTTGGACAAAGCCGAGTTCAAGACGTTCGCACAATGGTTCCTTGGCGATCCTATCGGTGATACATCGAAAACGGCAGTCCGAGTCTGACTCGTCGAGCAAGAGGTCTGGGTTTTCTCCGGTTTCTGGTTGTTTGAGGGTTTTATAGCTATTGCGCGAGGGTTGTGATTTTGGTCAATTTCTGCAGTGATCCCCCCGGCTTCTGTGCTGTGTAGTTTCTCTCAATGAAGAATGTTTAATATGCGTTCTATCACCTTCAACCGACTAAAAACCTCTATCTTGCGTACCAGCTTGCTGATGAAGACATTTATCGCCCGCTGATCTGGGTAAGCAGAAGCGATATGACTGTACAGACTTCCTAATCAATGAAACACTCAAATTCCACTCTTCGAGGGCAGTACTCCACTCGTCGATCCCCGTACCCTACTCAATGTCAACTATTTACCCTTTTGCAATGCCGAGCGACTTATAATACGTGTAAGCGTCTAGCAGATCATTACGACCAAACGACCCTTGCATCAATCACTGGCTTAAACAAATTAACCTCAATCGCTACAGCCGCATCCTCTTACAAGTACAACGCTTCAACTTCTGCCAGACAAGCCTTTACCAAGCAGTATGCCCACCGTCCACAATCACAGTACTACCGGTCATGAAGCTCGATGCATCGCTCATGAGCAGCAAGGTAATGCCCCTAAACTCCTCCGGCCTTGCTAGCCGCTTCATCATATTTTCTGAACTCCATAGCTCCCTAGTATCCGGATCCTTCTCCAAAACCATCTTTGCCATTGGCGTCTCAATATGCCCGGGACAAAGACAGTTCACCCGTATCCCACCCGCACCATCCTCCCTAACCTCAGACCACTCCATTGCTAGACTCCGCGTCAGCTGGATTACTGCGGCCTTGGACGAGTTATATATGGCAGACTCCATGCCCTTGTTGGCAATTATACCGCTCATACTTGCCACAAGGAGGATGGACCCGTGGCACTTCATCTCTAGCATCGCTTTCGCAGCTGCCACAGCGCTGCGAAAGACGCCGGTATAGTTGATGTGGATCACGTCGTCAACATTCTTGGGTGTGTGGCTGATCGCACTAGCAACGTAGTTTATTCCCGCGGCTGCAACGAGACCGTCCAGACGATTGTTTTGTGCTGCGATGTCGGCCATCACAGCTTCAGTATTTGCATCGTTAGTTACGTCCATGCGGCGGTAGCTTAAGGATCCACCGAAATCTGGGTTGGCGCGTTCTTCTGCTGCATGGAATTCGTCATCTGGTTCAGGAAGCCTATCGAGACAGTATACTGTGTACCGTTGACGTGAGCCATAGAGTTGAAATTGATATGAGTAGAGAGAAAATATCACCTCGTCCGCCAGCTTCGACCAATGCCTCGGCCATCGACAGCCCCAACCCCCTTGCACCACCCGTCACTGCAAATACCTTTCCTGCAAGAGAGAACTCTCGGAAACGATCACGGGCTTTCTCAATCCTAGGTAGCCTTTCTTTCACATGCGGCTGCCCGGCCATAGGTCGTGTGAAGTTCGATAGTGCGCCGAAACCTAGGGGTCTCCCACCCTTAAAGTTGAGACTTGAGAGGCCAAAAGCGGAAATATGGGGACGAGACAGCGCTACTCTGGATTGTCGCGATAACATCTCGAATCTACTACTCCTGACACAATGAGCCTCCCTCTCTAAATTTGATCTACCGGGCCCTATCGTCCGGCAATGGAGTATATATTTCTTCGATCAAGGTCAGCCGACGAAATCGAGTGAACAGCTCAAACCTTGATGACAGATGGGAATAACTTCATTTTGAGTTGGGAGATTCTGATTATCTGAAGCCCGTGCGCCAAGAATGTACATATGTCAAGCTTCCGTCATCATGGACGCAAGGGCTGGGCAGCTGACACTTCCAAGATACAAGGGCGAAGATGACTTTGCTGTTACATGCTTTTCAAATATAGTACCAGTTATATAAAATTACAAGCACAATATCCTGCTTCACAAGGATACTGGTAGAATGATCTTCATATTACGTGTGTCAGGATATTAGCGGCACATGGTATGTTTCCGCTATGGTTTCTTACAGATTGTGGTTGAATGGTGACTGTAGTACTAGTAGTTTTTTGACTTTAATTTTTCTAGCCTAATGGTGGTTAATTGAAAAGATTACATCTCCCCAGTTTCGGAAAAGTATAGTGTGAACAAGATGCGAAAGCGATAAGAATCTAACGGTGGTCGCTCTCACAGCACACCTTGTAAACAAGATCTCTACCATCTTTATTTGCTCTTGTAAATCCACATCTACGTGAGTTTATCATTTGCTTTCAGTCTTTCCTCTTCTAGTCGTTACCCTAGGGATTAACGCCTCATTACATCATTGTATGACTACCAAGGGCGGCGGGAAACCTTAACTCCCGGTTCCTGGATGGTAACATTAATGCGTCATACCGTCTGAAGTAGATGCTGGAATAGTAGATCTACGGAATATAAGTAATAAGTAGTTAAATATGCATAACCTAGGTATGGGATCTGCCAGTGCAAGCTCATCGAGATCATAATAGCAAGCAAGATCTATTCTGGGCCGAATATACCCAATGAACTTCAACCTTCTTTTCGCACGAGTATCGTGGTAATATTTCTGTTACTATTACGCCCAAAGCCTTATCTATCACAATCAGGAGTCTGGTCAGTCACAGTATTGATTAAAACCTTTACCAGGGTGCACCTACGTAAAGTAAAAGCATACAATGCCAAGCATGAGATGAGATAATTACTATTACTAACACGAACCAGTCGCTAATCAAGCCAACTATGACTCTATAATACTCTAACGCAACACCGCAAAACCATGCAATGGAACCCAACCCGTTCAAAAAAAAACAAAAGCACAATCAAACAACTTCCTTAGCCTCCCCTCCTGACTTCTTCTCCTGCTCCTGCTTCCCCTGTTTGACATTCTTCCACCCCATGCCCCACACAAAGAAGAATTGAACCACACAAAGCGCCGCACACAGATAGAATACCTCGTCAATCGCCTTCGAATACGCAACTAGCACCGAGAGAAGATCCTTGGCTGGAACGACGTCCCGGAATCCAGTAGCTCCCGCTGAGATGACAGTCTCGGGGTTGACGTTCGGTGCATACTCGGGGATCTTCTTTCTCAGGCCTGCGGTGAGAAGGACCTCAGCGACGGCGAGGAAGATAGAGCCGCCGAAGGTTTGACTGAATGTGAGGATGGCCATTGCAGGGGAGATTTGAGCGGGGGCTACGGCGTTTTGGATGGCGACCATGGGCT